ATTATGTCGTGGATTCTGTATGTCATTGGCATGTGCACGTCTGCTAACAATGAATAAGTCATCTTCACTCATAATTCCAGTTCACTGAGATGCAAATGAGAGGACCAGCCAGTAGAAAGATCCTTGTGAACCCATTTTTTTCTTTTGAAGAGGGAGGTATAAGAACTCCAACCAGACAAGCTATATAGCTAAAATGATATCCATGGGCTGATGTTGTATTGATGTTTAAATGACCGACTTATTTTACCAGTTCAGACTGTATGTTATGATAATTTGGTTACATTGGGTTTAATTATCCTGTCTGTCCAAGAATTACTCGTAAAGTCAAATCAAATTCATTGTTAAATTAGCGCACGCTAAATTTTAGGTCTGGGTAGTAGCTGAAAAATGTCTTATCTTAATTTTCCGCAAATTTACAGACTTTTCAATGAGATGTTGTTCTATATCCTGTGATACTTCAGGAAACGTTAAGACATTGATACTGATTAGTTTTGGTGACTTTTTGACCGTTATTCAGAATTCTATGGAAGGAGAAATCTCAAATGTGAAAAGTCTCCCCATCACAAGTTGCAAAAATGGATAAAATTAAGATTAAAATTTTGCACAGTAAAGAAGGAAGATATCAAGCTTCTTACTGAATTAGACAATTTCCCTGCTGTGATCAGAGATAAGTAAGAATGACATAGACATATCGTGGGTGACCACTGGAAACCTCGTATATGTCATATTTGGTCATTTTGACTTTTTGGTACCGTTCGAAAGCTCCTAAAAGCGCAGATCTTGTGATCAAAACTTCGTATTCTTAGCTTGATTGTAAATAACTCAAAAAGCACTAACTAAATAACACGTATATAAACAGTCAGATTTAAAACCTCGTAAAATATATTAATATACGAGGCTTAATTTTTCCCTATTCTGCGGATGAAAACCTCGTATACTGTATAATAGGCTGTAGAATTCAAATTGTTATATGAGGTTTATATTTTCAAAGAATGAAAACCATGTATAGCGGTAAAAAAAAATAATAAAAAAAATTTTAACAAAATACGTGTACAAATAGTTTTTTTGCCTTTTTCTCGAAAGGTAATTTCGCGTCATATATAGTTATATGAAGTTTCAAACAGTCATCTACAAAATACTTGATAAATTAAGACATATTTCAATATGTATTTTGGCATCCTTCAAATCTTATAAGGCAGAAAAAATACAGATGAAAAAGCTCTAATGTGAATACACTGAGTACATCAATGGTTATCACTAGATCAACTAAGGGAGATAATTGAATATTTGTGATAGATTATTGATAATAAAAGTGATTATATTTATGTCTAGGGAAGGTTTATCAGGAACAAAAGATGGCCTGAAGATATTTTCTCTTCTGCCAATCTCATCAAGTCTGATATTAGTCTTGATTTATTTATGATGAAGATGATAAATTTAGGTATTGAATCTTAATCCTTGTCTGACCTTCAAGGTGTTTGAAAAAGTGGAAACAAAATGCAGAATGGTTTTCCTAAATTTTTGGTCAAACTATGTTTTATAGTATTAGAGAAATGACTGAGTCTAAATCTTCCACTAACTTTCGAAGCCAATTTCCATACCTACCCTATATTTTTATATTTTTGTCAAAATTACAAGGGGTGATCTCTATTGAATTGTACTAAATAAGAAGGATACTCTACAAGAGTTATAGTCTAAAATCTCTGGCAGTTATAGTATTTGATCCAGCACAAATTGAGAGATTAAAAAGTTTCAGTTTATGTTATTCTTCATGTAATATGGTAAAGAAGATGTAAAACTCAGTTTCATTTTTCTCGATTCCTCGTCCTATCATAGACTTGAGAATAAAATGGCATCAAAATTTCATTCATGAGTTAATAAACATATCATCAGACTGTTTTACGGGTCTATTCATATTATTGTATTATTCTCTACCAATTTACTACCAATATTTCTATCATTATTCATAACCTTTAAATACATCTTATTGCTTCGGCTGAAGAAGATGAAATGATAATAGGCTCATAAAAGTTATGGTATTAGTCTTGGCTGTTAAAATTCATTGATGATGCAATTTGGAGGAAAATATTACGAATTGTATCTGACTTTCATCGTTCTATAAGAGTTTCTCTGGAATTTTGGGGAATCTACCATAGCAGTGATATTCAATTTTTTTTGACAAGACTATTATCCTAGTGTTTTTTTTTAAAAATCTTATGCTTTCAGTTGAATACATTGGAAATGAACATATTATTGTATTCCCCATCAGTGCATAACTTGAAACTTTTTGAAAATTAGATGCAAGTTATGTTTGGAAAGTATTTGGCTTTAAACATCAGATTTGCTACTTAGATGTTTTGACAAGCTGCGACTAGAAGTATGCTTTCAAAAAGATATTCCAATATCACCAAGTCCTAGGCCCATGCTTTTAATGGATTATTTTTCTTGTAATGCCAAGAAGAAAAAACAAATTTAAAAATTCTCTAACATAACCTTAATATGCTGATGATATAGCTAATCATTAGATAAGTTAATAATGTATTCAGATTTAATTGTTTTTTTATCTTATTTTATTAATTTTGTGATATACATAATTTGAAATGTTGTTATAATTAATGACATTTTAGATAAGGTGAATAAAATTATCATAAAATGAGAACTTGTTAAAGGGATGCAGTATTTAATTACCTGTATCACTTTTTAAAAGGCATATAATATGTTAAATAGAATCTGCCCACAATTAAGTTGTATCAGATGAATTTGAATTTCTGTTGGGGAAAAGTAAACAACCTTTTGTAACCTCTGTTGGTGCAAGTTGTTTTTATATGTGTACATTCAGATGAAAAGTGCAATCAGCTTTTCATTCTGCTCAGTGTTATAAGTAGCTGAAACTAAGATCAGCTAAAAATGTTAATTAAGACGACATATCCCTTTAATTGTGTTTATAGTTGGTTTTAACACAGTTGGTTGCAGGTCAGTGACAGTATGTTATAATAAATGAATTTGTTATATATTGTGAATATTCTCTATCATAGGCTACAGGTTACCTACTAATGTAAAGGTTAAATGTGCAAAAATTCCCTGTCCTATTGCCAGGTTGTATTTTTTGCGATTTGTCAAAAGTTAGATGTGTCAAATTTGGCTAGTAGGTGAATGCTAATTGTCTAACATGCAGTATATTTTTGCAGTATCAAGAAACTGAATAGTATATATTTTTTATTCTGAAATAAGGTTAAAGGAATAGTGAATATTGTCTCAGACTGGATTTCAGAGGCTGATGCAGAAACAGGTGATTGTTCTTCAGAAAATTCTGTAATAGAATTTAGTTGAGAAGTATTATAAAATTTTCTTAACAAAAGATTTTTTGAAGTAATGAAGGTCTGGTCTTTATTTAAGAATGATAAATGATTTAAAATTTCCTAAGATAATGAAGATTTATATTTTAAATGACAATTTGGTCTGGGTCAACTTGAACTTTGACCCTGGGACTGAAGCACATTTAAAAATTATGGTGGTGAGGTAAAATAATAGAATGCTAGAATAAACATTAGTTTCACAGATAGTATAGAATATACATTAAATATTAATATTTCTGACTGATTTCATAATGTCTGTTTGCATTGGAACAGCTTGGGGTCACAGAGTAAATGAAAAGGTGTGCTCTTTGATTATAGCAATTATTGAGGTGTGTGAATTTGTCTATGTGTGGAAGATGGAAATATCATGAAATACCTTGATTTGCATACTGTATCTTAAAATCAAAATACCAATACATTGTGATGTCTCTGATAGGGATGATCCTAGTAGTAGGCCCTGCTCTGCTCTGTTCTGCCTCACTTGTGTTGTTCAGAAAAGTAATATCATCATGTCACTGCAAACTGTTGGTTGTATTTCATTTCAGTTTTGTTAATGCCACATGAAAAAAAACAATTAATGTAGCTGTCAGTCCAGGCTTGATTTATATATTAAAATTGTTATGAGACGTGTCAAGTCATTTGTATGGCTTTCATGACAATTTTATTTGGTATATTCAGGTGTGATAGTAATTATATTCAGACTGGAAAATAGTTATACCTATCTATTTCATTATGAGGGGGTAAAAAATCCTGTGGGTTCAAGTTCTGGATTTGGATCATTTTGTTTTTATTCTGAACATACTTTAAGTTACGAGGTAAATTGTTATCAAGGACACAATAGTACAAGTATTTTGATCTTCGTATTGAGATTTTGTGTATTTTGTTCTGGTGCTGTGATGTTTTATTAGTTGTAAACAGCAACATTAGTGTATTTTGAAATAGTTTCGTGATAGTCAGTCTTTTTGGAAAATAAAAGATAAAGTGTGGAGGAGTTTTTTCTATAGTTGAACAGCACAAGTCTTGTTTGAACATCCAACAGGTTTGAATTATTTTAAAGTTTGAGACTTGTCCATTGTCAGATTTAGTATACAGTTTTGAGAGCAACACAATTATCATCTAAAAATTGAAATATGTTTTGGCAATTGAAGATCTAAATGACCGGATAATTTCTCTTTCTGCCCTTTTACCCCCCCATATTAAATATATCTTTTATTTCCAGTGAAAACCTATCATAAAGAAAGCAATATCACCAGTTTGACATTTTTATGATGGAACTTTGAACTGCAAGTGAAAGTAGTGCTGTATTTTATGAGAGAATAATTGAAAGGGATCTGTTTATGAATGAAAGTGTGACCATATAATATCGTTCATCAAATTTTCTCATATTATATTATTCAACATCCAATATTTTATCTGCGTATGATTGGTTTATATTTACTGCGTAAATATGGTTCACACTAAACAATGTTTTATTGGCAGTAATCCTGTCTTGTTGTAAATGGAGCCATAAAGAAGAGAAGAGTCAATGTTTTGAAGATGATGCCAGGAGAAATAAATCAATAATCACCATTGGATAAAACTTGGGTTTACAGTACTTTCAGCAATGATTTACAATACATAGATAGAAATTTTACAAAATTCATCATGAATATCTTCAAAAAATCACGCTCTAGGTCACCTTCTTTTGAAATTCCCAAATTATGTTTTCCATTACAAAAGCAAAAGAGATCCACTTCTGTGGATTGCCCTAGTCCAGAACCTACTCAACTGCAAGTTCCGTTTGAAAATCGTGGAAGGTCTTCCAGTTTTGATTCAAGCAGCTTGCAGCAAAGTGGATTCAATCTATTACAAGTTCCATTTGGAGATTCTAGATCCAATTCTTTAGATAATTCTCCAACTTGGAGTGCTTCTTCTGATGAAAATGTGTCCGAAGAGAAATATAACAAAAATTTAAAGTTACCAAAATATCAGAAAAGGAGGTCATCTTTGGATATTCCAAGAATATGTATGCATTGTCTTCATATGGAGACATTGGCTCAGGAGAAGCGAGCACATGATTTAACAAGTGCACAATCGGAGCCTCATAATTTACAGTTTGGAAGGTCAAGAAGTTTTAGTGATTGTTCTTCAACAGATTTGTCTGATCTTGACGATACTCTATCCAGTGAGGGAGAAAGTGACGATAAAAATGATCAGGAGAATATGATAGTGATTAGATCTGCCTCGGCCAGTCCTGTACCAACACAAACAAAAACAGATCAGTTAGATTATAAGAATGTTGTGACTTTACATGTCCCTGTGGTGAAACAACGGTCATCTTCTATGGACGCAGCATACATGGCTGTGCCTAAACTAAGTCCGAAACCTTTAAGGAAAGGATCATTTGATGATCGGAGATCGGATGAGCATAAACAAATACGATCTAGTTCTGTGGATGTAGCTTTCCCTACTGAAGAGGATGCTTCATTTAAAGCTATAACACACACTGGTGGCAAAGGACAGTAAGTCAGAATTTTATTCCTTTAAATGTTTATTTTCAGGAAACATATGATACAGATTGGTGTTATATGATGTACAACAAATGCATATAATACACAAGTAACTATACAATACTAACAGCTTACAAAACAACTACTTTACATATAGATCAATATGTAAACACATATTTCTAATAAATATTAATTCTACACAAAATAAGCCTTTCATGTACAAAAGCTTTCCATATTGTGATTATGTAATAATATTCTGTCACATATTCTTATATTTTTCTATTTTTTCTGTATTTTTTGATCCATTAAGATTTTCAATCCAGCAACAGCAGTATTTGATCCTTCCATGCGACAAATCTAATCTTTAGATAGAATTTATAAAACTGATGGTTATGTCTGAAAGTTAAGAGGTCGTAAAATCTGAGATTGAAAAGGTTCATTTAGCTATCAAAGATCACATGAAACGCCAGTCACATCAATTTTAAACTATTTATAGAAACAACATGTCTATATATGGAAACCATGTGAATGGATATAGCAATATTGAAAGGGGATTTATATTTCAATAGTTGAAAAAATTCTGAAAGTTCTCATATTAGATTGATAATATTTGCCTTAAAAACAACAACACTTTTTTTCTTCTTTCCTTTTTGGATGATCATAAAAACTACCTTACATGCTTTTTAAATGATAAAATTACTTGTTTACTAATAACAACCTGGTCACTTTGTCGAACATTAAAGAAACATGATGTTTTAAGAGTGATCAACCGAAGCCCTGTGTGTTACAGGCTGTGCATATTAAAAGTCCCTTGACAGTTAAAAATTGAAAAAGAGCAGGCTAATCATTGCCCATCTTCATTATCCCAAATGGTGCAGAAAAGTAGAACGTAAAACTCCATACATTTCATTTCATAAGAATGATCTCTTGTTGTACTCATCTGTTTTGTTGTCACCTGTATATTCACATGGAGCTGATTTAAAATATTGCTCTGTAAATAGTCTGTCTTCCATTTCTCCCTACATTTCTGGCCAAACTTTAATCCTCAGTCTTCTTTCATGTCCATATAATTATCTTAATTTACCACTGGCTTCCTGACCTGAAAAAAGGCTAAAATCATGATAATTAACAAATAGAGATCTATATACATGTCTTCCGCCTTCTTTTCACTAAATTTCTCCTTTCTAAATCGCAGACAAAAATAAATGAAGGAATTATCTTTTAAAGTTTTGTCCAGTAAAAGCATGTCTTATGAAAGAGTGAAACATGTCCAAACATAGACCTAGCTATTTATCTCTGCCGTTATCTGACTTTTACAAAAATTATTTTATTATTCACGAGTCTATAAGTAATAAAATAAAGTGCCTCTTGGCCAGATTGAGTTGAGAAAATGGCTATTAAAAAGTGAAGCCATATTTGGATTTGGTTATCAAACTCCAACCTGCTGAGTGGTGTTTTATTGATAACGGAGCCAATCAACTGATTTGAAAATGTCGAAGATCTTACGATCAATTTCAGCACTTTTAAAAGTTAAAAACGTCAGTGAATGTAATGTTGTAGAGGATGATTTATGATGAGATGGCAAGAAATTATTGCCAGTAATGTATTAATGGATATCATCATTGAATTTCTGCACACTTCTGACATCTGCTGCATTCTAATAGCTTAAAAACAGAAGTATCATATTGTATTTTGTGAAATATAATATGCATCATTAATCTTGATTTGATGCTTTAAACCTAAGGATTATTCTGCACATTGACATGCTTTGAAAGAAATATCATTGTCTTTTGTGGTACATGAATACCAACTTTTTTCTGAAAGAGAACTTGTTCAGTGATAAATAACCTTTGCAAGCAGATCTCATCTATGTACACAAGTCTTGTGATGAACCTAAGAAAAACTTCAATTGATTTTTGGAGGAATTGGCTGGGATGATGAATGTAAATACTGCTGCCATTGTCAGATGGGATAGGAGAACATACTTTGCACTAAGTTGAGCAAGTGTTTACATTGAAGCTGATTACATTGTGGGTGGCATATATTGAGATGATATTTCCCAATGCAATCGAAGTCTCAATGAATTCCAATCTTATCCTATTATAAAGACAATGTGTACAAGGTTTTGATCTGTTTGTAAATTATGTCAATGGCAGTTATTCTCCAGAGTAAAATTTAATAGTTGATTCATTCAGGATGAAGTAATACAAACTATCAACCATGTCAAAAACACTGAATTTTCACAACATTTAGCTACAAAATCAAACATGGAGTCTCTGCAGAGTTGAAGTTATAATTGTCACAGTTGACCCCAAACCAAATATAGAATCAGAAGAGCTTCCTAAATAGAAAATATTTCATTCCTGTCATGTCCAGAACTCTGCAAATATTCCATTGAGAATTCTAGGTCAGCTTTGGATATGACCAAGCAATTATGAGGCGTTGTTCTTAGAACTGTTTGAATTCTCAGAAGAATGGCCACTATAGAATAGCTACAAATCAATGTTCTTCTTTGTGTTCACTTTACGTGTTTGGTTTTGACAAGTTTATATCATGGCAAGACTGCTCTGGTAGTAAATCTGATAACAAGACTAATTCGTAGATGTTGGAAATATCTCTGGTTTTTATTAATCATAGCATTACATCATTACATATATATTTTCAATGTTATGAAATTAACCACAATGCCGAAGATGTGAAATATTTATAGCTCATCAAGAGTTGAATGATTCTGCATTAATTATTTGAGTTTGATACTTTAGGTAATTCCACAATTTCTGTATCAAACATTATGATATGGAATCAAAGCTTTTGATATTTACTCTGCCTTGCTTTTATGTTATATTGAGTACAATGATGTCTGGTAAATATTGGAAAGGTAAAGGTAGTTACCGAAATGATCATGCCCAAACCTTCCTTTGTGCTCCAAAGTTTTCTACTAATTATTTTAAGAATTCACTTCTTTATATCTCACTTTTTTCAAGGTGAACTTGCAAATGCATTTAAAAATACACCAATTCAGAAGAAATTAGATAGACTGTCTGAATAGCAACTTGCGTATGGTAAAGACTTTTTTGACATATCTTATAATTAGTATCTTATTTAACATTTAAAGAATCGAATATGATGTTGACAGCTCAATTAACTGACTCTGTGTTTGAAGTGAATGTATCAACATCTTTTATCCAAATCTGATATGAGCTACTGGTCACAGTGATATTGTTTGACTGTTTAAATTATAGGACAATCTAGGAAATACAGCCTTATTTATTTCCCTTTAATTATTTTTTGTGCATTGCATGTCAAATCAAACAACATTCATAAAAACAGTGTTTTCACCATTATACATACTTATTAAACCCATAACCAACCTTTTTGGAATAAAATTGCTATTAGATGTCTGTATGAAAACAAATTTTAACAAAATCAGGTCAAATATAGTTTAAAGAAAAACAGTAAATCAGTAATGGGGAGTCTCAAGGAAGGTATACAAAACACATGTCACAAAATTAGATTACTGCTATGTTCACATGTAAAAATGAAATGAATGGAGTTTTACATCCTACTTTATGTTCACATGTAGGAGGAAGGTGTGTTTATATTTATTTATGTATTAAAAGTTTACAATTTAATCAACATAAAGTCATTTTAAAACAAGATTACTGCTATGATCATTATCAGCTGAATTCATAGATTTCCTGGGACAAAGTATTCTACTAAAATAATTGACTGTAAGGAATGTAACAGTAAGTTTTACTGACTTTGTTTCTTTAAGGATAATGATTGATATATTTCTGCCAAGATCGTGGATCCCATATTAACCTTATAATATTAATGTTGAGTAGAGTGACAGTATTAACATAGATTGATCATAGATCGTGTTATTGGTAAACAGTTGGATAATCATTCTGGTATATATCTAGTACTGTATAAATAATAAAGTAATAAGTGTGTTGCAAAAATTATGTTGTATATGACCAGGGCAATACAAAACAAATAATAATCTATCAAAAACTATACAACTTTAAACATTTTATATAAACAGCAATATATAAACAGCAATATATAAACAGCAATAAACAGCAATATATAAACAGCAATATATAAACAGCAATAAACAGCAATATATAAACAGCAATATATAAACAGCAATATATAAACAGAACTTTCTATTGAACTGTTCCCAACATGCATATGATTGGAAGAAGTCAATTCAAGTTCTGTTTTAATATTTCAAAAAAAGCAATTATCTATATAATGATTTATTGTTCGCAGACGCATTTTTATTGAACTCTTCACGAAAGAGTTACTTTTAGATGTTCTTATAACACAGATGAAGACAAATTTGTCTGCTCACAGAAACTGTAGAACAGGTCGTAATAACTGTTCTTGGAGAGCTGGACCGTTGACATTACCAAATTTTCTGTTCGGTAGTTTTCAAATTGGAACCGTTTACATTTGTAATTTTTCATCCATTCCGTTCTCGGAACTGTTCTCAGAACGGATAATTTTTGTAATGTAAATGGTTTAATGATTTTATTTTTCAAGAAATAAAAGAATTGTTTTTCAAAATTTGTTCTAAACGTTAATTTTCATTTAGGAATGAGGTAAAGATTTCGGCAAACAGGAGTAAATAAATCTTGTAGTTTATGAGGATTTTAAGATTGAAGAAAGAAAATAGCTGTTTATTCTCCTAGGACTAGGCCAGTTCATCAACTCATTTATACCATTAACATTGCTGTTCTTTCTGAGCCTAGGGGAATAAAAACAGATCGTAAATCCTTCCAGGAGTTATCAGTATTATCAACATGCTGATATTTAATTAAACGTTACAACCATCTTACACAGTCAAATATTAAATAACCAAAAACATTATTAGATATGTGGGCTCTCTTAAAGGGATTGTAAAGAGGTTTTCTATATTTTTAAGTGTATCGGGGACAATGATAGCATCAATTTGCATCATTCTAATTTTCAATCAATCATCTGTGGTTCCAGCAATTCCACTAAAACTAAGTGTTTATATAGACTCTTTGAAGGGATGCATGTTGACACATTGTGTTTCTTTGAAATGTATGCTGA